GAGCTGGAGACTGATTTCTTGCATGCAATATGGTTTAGTCAAGTTCCTGTTTAGCTTCCTGTAACTGCACTACATACACCATACTGCCCAGAGACAAATGGTTCAGTTTCCAGAGGTAGTATGATTTCTGAGAAAGGTGTTCTCTCTGCTCACCTTAGCATCAGCCACTTTGCTTAATCCCAGCTCATTGATAATCTGGGTGACTCGCTCTTCCTTCTCCTTAATGCTGATGGAGCTGGGGAGTCGCAGTGCAGCAGAGAATTGCAGGTTCTCCCTCACCGTCATCGTGCCCATAACAACATCATCCTGAAAGTACAAATGGACAGTTGAAAAGACTCCTCAGCTGCAGAGTGGGTATCAGAGTCCCTTAGTGGCAGTAACTGGATAAACTGTTTGCAGACCACAGTGGAACCCAGACTGAAGGACAACTCCTTTAAATTTTACATGACATGAGATTCAAAGTCCTTCAGCAGCAGTCAAGGGGAGACTGCAGCTCTGCAGGCCCCACAGCTTACACCAAGCAACCCCCTAGCCTGCTTTCAGGCTGAGAAGTTCAAGTGCAGACAGTGCCACTTTGCACTGCGTGTGCATTTTTCTTACTAGCCAAAGTGCGGCAAAGCAGGTAGTGATTTTGTAGAGTTAAACTCCTGTCTGGAAGCCAGTTGGAGCCAAAGGATGTTGCTAGTGCTCAGTGTTCAAGGTAGAGACACTCAGGGAATCACCCTGGTCAGCTCTGTTCCCAGTTATAAGCCATGCCTCTTTGTGGTCCAGAGTACCCGCTGAGTTCAGCTGCCAACAAGGTGTGTTCCCCAGCTCCTCACTGGCAGCAGCTTCTCAGAGAAGCAAGAATATTGCACCAAGATGTTCCTGCCATGTTTCAGCTATGTACAACTCCTGGACCTAAGACTTTATTCTAAGGGTTCAAAACCTTCAACAGTCATGTGCACTTTGAGAGAAAATCAAATCTATCCAAATAACAGACCTGAGCAACATCCAGCAACCTGCAACAACCATGAGCCTAATAGAGATTCGCCATTCAGAGCTCCATGCATCTCCATCACTCCCACTTTGGTATTTGTACCAATTCTGTATCCTACCATATCATGAGAAAGGGCTGCAACACTGGATAGCTGCTGACAAACTTGCCTGTTACATCAGCCATCTCTGGAAGACATCCCCTAAGCTGCAGGGCACCAGATTCTTGCCTTCTTTAAGACTCTGCCCATGTCAGCTGTAGTGCATCACCAGCAAATAATATACCAGTCAACCATGTTTGGCACTGGACTTAACAGAGGAAGACAAGAATGTGCTGCTTTGCTGCCAAAGATGGTTTAGGCCTTTCATATCCTCCCTTCCCTTCCCATAACCCCTCAGTCTCTGATCCCAGCCTCCCATTCTCCACTCTCAGATCCACCAATACAACTGTTGAGTCACTACACTGGAAACTAAACTGTGAATTTAAGCTTAATACCAAGCACAACCATCAGTGACATGACACCTTCACTCTCACAGCATGAATGGAGACCACCAGTAATTTTATAGGGGTGACAGATGACTTAGCATGCCTATATGCTTATCTGCATAAAAATGATCCTATAATTACGTATTTAGGACTTCAGTGCTGCTTGTAGTTTTTGATCCATCTTTATTGATCCAGGGAGTGCTGCATTGGGTGGGAAGGGGGAGAAACCATTTAACGTTTCACCAAGTTGCTTAACATTTTAAGGTTATGTTTGGTTGCTTTGGACATTTGAGAGACAAGTGTTTCCAACTGGGACCACTTGTAAGAAACTTACTAGCTATTAATCATCTCCTGAGAATTTGGGGATCTCTGACCTGCAGGATCAAGATTTAGCACCAGTCTCATCGCATGGATCCTTCCAGAGCCCCCAGCTGGCAGTGTTCAGCTGCCTGTGTCACATCTGCCTGCAGTCAGAACCCTGGATGGCTTCCAGATTTGGCTGCTCATACAGCTGCCAAGAATCCCCTTCTCCCCAAAGTTCCCCAGGGCTTTGAGGGTCTATTATTGGTCCAGGCCTCCACCCACTTCCGCAGATTCAGCTGGCTTTTCCTGTCTCCAAGTGGAATGAACCTCTGTCACAGCCAGCTAGAATCAGAGGAAGAACAGCAGGGATCTATTTATTTCCTAGAATTATTGTCTGATAGTTTGAAGGTACTTCTGCCAGCTAGAACTGCTTCTGAGTTTAACAACAAGAGATTTTGGGTGTCATGATTTTTTTCCTCCTTTTTTTAAAAACCTTTGCTAGCACTTCAGGGCAGAGACCAAAGGACAAGTCACAGTAGACCAGCAGTTTGGGCATCCATGGGGCTGTGGGAAGACACACCTCTATGCCTGGCTAGGCTGGAGTAACAGTTTGATCTTACTGTCTTCCGTATCCCAGATAAAAACTAAACACTGTAACATCTGAGTTATCAAATTAGGCTCCGTAGGGATCACTGAAAATTACCTAAACTAGTCATTCATGTTTTCCCAGGCCTCCAGGAAGGCAGTTACTCACCTGCACAACATATCCTGAGATGCACTTGAAATTTGGAGGTTGTGGGATGCCATCTATAAGCACTTCTCCAGACAGACCTGCTGGGTCCTTTCTGGCAGCCAGCACATCTAGGAGACTTCAAACAAACACCAGGCATTAGGTTTTGCAATAACTGCTGCCTTTACCCTTGACTGGGTAAGTACCACCAGCCATGACTGAGTTACAGCCTGCTCACAGTGCACTGAAACCAGAGGGCACAGGAAGGGGCTTCCCCTACTCTGCAGGCTTTAGCTCTTTGTACAGAAAGTCTGGTGTACATCCAGGATTTTCCAGCACACGGTGTGCCACAGCAGTATGGCAGTGTACAGACGCTCACAATTCACAACAGTCAACCCCCTACAGACATAAACTTGGTCTGTGTATTTACAGATAACCTCAAATGCACAGAGACAAAAGCACCCTGCTGAGTCGTTGCAGGCTGCTCTCCAGCCAGGGGAGCACTGAACTAACTCCTCTGATCTCAAGGAAATTAATCCATATGGGTGTAAACAAGACAAGAGTTAAGATTAATTCTAGAAAGTATTTTTTTTTAATGTATCACTGGATTCTCCTTACTGCCAATGCAGAGGCCAGCCTGTCTGCCAGATAAGTAAACTGCCCTGATGAAGTGCTGCTCTTGAAAGCATCCTGATTAACCAGCAGGCTCCTTAGAAAAGAACATCAATGGTCACCACAAAGACACACCTGTGTGAACCCTGGCCATATTTGCAACTGTCTGACATTCTTAAAGTGGAAGAGTGACAAAGAGCTCTCTTACCACAGGAGAGAAAACAGCATTAGGACTGGATGGAGATAGTCTACATGGTATTTCTCTGTGCCTTCATCCAAACAACTCAAGCATATGTGTACCCCCACCAGCAGGCCACAGCCAAGCTGGGGTAAAGATCAGAGCATCCTACAGACTGCATTACACCATGTTCCTGTCAGTTGTCAGAGAGGGGTCTGGCCTAGCAGCTTCAAGGAACTCTCATGTTGCAGAGAGTTCAGAGGGGTTGACATCTTCCATGCCCCAGGGGAGCTTGTACCCCATCCCCACCCCATTACTAGTCAGAACAGAGCCTATATCTGAGCTCCAGTCACCTCAGTTCTGCCTGGTGTCTTAACTCAGGCTACCACCAGACTGCAATAATAGGGAACACCAACTGGAGCAGATGAGGGATGTGACACAGTCACAGTGCAAGAACTTCAGCAAAGCTGACAGAGGGGCAGGAGGTCAAACCGCATCCCCAGATTTCTCAAAGGCATGCAAAGGTGTAAGCCTGAAGATACCTCACATCTCCCCTAACCCTCAGAATCCCAAATATATTTTGAACAGCTGACTGTCCATTTAAATGAGCAGAAGGTACTCACGAAGATTTTCCACTCCCTGTTGGCCCCAGGATAGCATTCAAGCCTGGTTTCATAATGCCACTGGAAGAAGGAAAGAGTTGTTTACAAATAAGGACATTTACAAGGACCACCCATATGCCGATTTTAGTAGATGTGAACAAAATGCTGTTAAAAGAAAAACTTCAGAGATTAAAAACTTCTCAAATCTGAAATCAATAAGCATTTCTCCTTTCTGTCCCAGACTGCCAGTCAGAACAGAATCAGAACTGGACATAAAAAGCAATCTACAAAAGACAAAAATAAAGTGTCTTCTCTGCTCAGCAGGGTCTTGAAAAGAAGCAACAACTGCTCTCTGTTGCTCATTTCCTCTGACTACACCTTGAGCCTCAGTTAAGGGAGTCCTTAGATCTTAGGGCAGAAGAGTTCACACAAGTTTGGTCCTAATTTGCTCCAATCAATAACTGAAACTACTTCATCTACATCCCAGCTATTTTGCCTAAAAGCAAATCAAAGTGTTTACATGAACTGCTGACTGGCAGGAGGGCAGTAATTTCTGTACCAGCACAGCTGGATCTGGAAGGTGACATGAGGTCACTGGTTCACAGCAGCAGATTAATTCCTACCCTCTAGTATTTAATTTAAGCAAACACTTACTTAACATCATGAAGAATCTTCTTTTCCACGATTTTCCTTTTACATAAGAATCCACTGGACTGCTTAACAGAGTACTGGATGTTATGGAAACTCACAACGGAGCCACGAGGAGATCGGAGGGACTCTTGTGTTGGAACAGAACGTTGGAAACTGCCCGCTCCTTCCTCTTCTCCAACAGAAATAACGCTGTGATCGAAGGTGTCTGACATCATGTCCTTGTTACACAGGTCAAGCTCCACTGCATGGAGATTTTTGAGGTCACTGTTGTTTTGAGCAGTTCCCATCTGTTGAGATGAAGAACACAGAAACACACGGGGAAGGAGACGTGTGAACAAAAATTTCTCCAGAAAGTGTCTTGGAAGAGCAAGTTCATGTGCACCACACCAATCAGTACACATGCCAAGTTTCCAAAAGGATGGACATCCGCACCGGAAGACATCCAGTAGTCCCCAAAGGCACGGAAATCCACAGATTTAGAACTAACCTTTAAGAAGAAGAATTATATTCTTGAAGTAAATGATGCTTGCTCAAAGGGCATCTAATGAGGCAAAAACAAGCCTACCTATGTTGGCCACCACCTTTTGTAACACAGTCGGTACTACTAATGGAAACTGTCACCACTTAAAGAGATTCAAGCTCACCCTTTTCAGTCATAACATGCTTTGCCCCCTGCCCCCCAACAAAGCTAGCAGAGAAAGCCTATTAATGAACCCACATAAAGAACCACAGCAAGAAAAATGTTTGTTGTTTATGAAAATGAAGGCCAGTCGCATCTTGTTTGCTGCACAAGTCTGTTTCAGAGATATAAATGTGATTAAAATAACAATTGCACATGCTAAAAATTACTGTGATGATGGGGAAAGCGCAGGTACTCATCAGGTTAAAAGAACAAGGAGAAAGACCTGACCACAAACACATCCATTGCTAGTTCCTTGAATTTTGTGTGAAGGTAGAAGTATCCCACCAATCACCAATTTCCCACCGTCTGCACTTCTTTCCTCCCAGGACTAAGAGGCTGATAGCTAGCAAGGACCACCACTACAGCAGAAGTAGATTTCTCAGGGAGAGAGAGATGATCACCCTACTGGGAAACTGGAGCTACAAAAGCCAGGTTTAAAGAAATGGGAATTGTCCTTTCCTCTCTGCCTCTTCCTAGCAGTGCAAGTGCAACAAGTTGCAGAAGCTTTTTCCTGTACAAGTGAAATAAAACTAAGAGCAAAGGAAGGGTAGTTTAGTTTGGACTCATACTTAACTCTAAGGCTAGTCAACCCTGGGAAAGACTTGCTTATGGGATACAACACAGGATACGCTAGTTACATCAACAAGAGATGGCTTACACTCTTGAAAGGTTGCACAACAGATGGTGAGGAAAAAAAAACCAAACAAACTAACAGGATGACACTGACACTAGGGGCAAAGACCTTGTTAGACTTTTGAACGTTTTGCTTGTATCTGTCCTGGCTGGGTTCGGTGGTTACGTTCACCGTACACCCTTTTATGCAGGTTTTTGTAAAGCTCCCGATTTGCACTGGCAAGCGTGTGTGTGCACGGACGGCAGAGGACGAGAAAGCCCAGCAGAGGCTACAGGTAGGCTGGGGCTGCAGCAGCCCCTCCCGGCAGTGCCCCTCTGTCACCCACCCACGCCCCGCGTTTCGCCACTAAGCCGGAGCCAGGACCCGACCCGGCCGACCACGCTCCGCTCCGCTCTCCTCCCCCACCCGCGTCCTCCCCGGCCCCGCCAGGATCGCTGCTCGCCCGCCCCGGCCC